ACACAGCTTGAGGGAAAAAAGCTCTCACAGCTAACAGCTATGACCATTCCCTGCTGCTGCCTTAGAACAGCCATTTTAATATATGGTATAAAATGAGGGCACAAAAAAGGGGGCTTCCAGTAATTCTCATACAACAAATCTGCTGGAGCATCCAACAGAACAGTATCTTGACAATCACTTCTAATTTCTTTAATTTAAAAAAAAAAAAAATTTCTTTTAAGTTAAGAGGGGTGACTGGCAGCGGACTGGGGAGCAACTGCTATTTTGCAACTTTTCTTCTGGGTGTCAGCATTTCGTCGCAAAGGGTACCTCACAGGCAATGAGAAAGGACAGCATTCGATACTGAATTGCCCCTGCATGAAAATAGGGGTATACATAACAGAAACCAGAAACAGGAGATTATTTGTGGAAAGTGCAAAGACATCACTAATTTGCGGTTTGCAAAACTCAAATGAAAAAGGAAAAAAAAAATCCAGGCTACGTGCAGACTCATGAAGCCTCTCCAGTGAGAACTTATCACTAAGTCTGAACTTTCAGGGACTCCGTATCAGATGCGTTAAATCTGCTTTGCAGACACCAGTACAACCAATACACAGCAACCGTTCAAACACAGAAAAAGGAGACTCATGTCAGCTACTGTAAGGCTGTGGCCAACAATACCAGGGAAGGAAGGTTCATATAGGGGAGAGGAAAGTCAAAAGGAGGGAAGTGAGAAAGACTGGCAAAGAATTGTGAGCTGATATACCTTTCTGGGATTCATGCAGCTGCACTTTCTCCTGGTGATCCCAGCCAAGTGCACATTTGTCTTGTCTGTCTGTCTGCACTCCAAACTTGCCTCCAAACCCCTTTACATAATCTGTATGCATAAAGTTTCAGAAAACATTATTATTGCAGTTTATGTAATACTGTGAACAGTATTTAATAAAAAAACCAGTAACACATTATGGGATAAGCTGCCCTGTCATTAACAATACTATCTTTCACTCTTTTCTCCCCACTGCTACACTACTTCAGAGGGGAAGGATACCCATTCAGTAACTTTAGGACCACAATGCGAGGAAGCACCACAAATCCAGTGAAGATTACAGCATACAGACCCAACAATATTCTGAGATTTGAAGAATCTGATGCACCTTCCACCTAAAGCCATATAACACACACATATATATATATGTGCACAACGTAGATATATAGATCATGAAGGACTTGATATTGCCTCTGAATACCACAGACCTGTGCAATTACACATTTATTTCAGTAATATGCATATTAGCTACATATTAGGGACATTAGGTCCCTTGGAAATCAGATTGTGAAACTCAGGGACAGTTTACAATGCCTTCCTTTTCATTTAAGGGAAATAAAAATCTGTATATATAAAGGGCAAACACACATTTACCACCAAAAAAAAAAAAGGCAAACAAAATATTTTTTCCCAGGTTTAAAAGGCTGATAGATTTGAACCCGTATTTTTAAATAAGATAATAAAAACCTTTCTGTGATTCATGTTTTTCCGTTTTGCCTTGATATTCAAAGCCAACAGCACTTTTGTCCACTTTGTCCTTGTCAACACCATATTTACCACCAAAGCCTTTGGAATAATCTAGAGATAAGAGCGAAGAATTTTGTTTGTAAGTATTCAATACGAAAATATTACCTTGAAAAATTGTGATAATCAGACCTGCTGCATTGCATTACATTACATATTAAAAGAAGCACAGACACTTGATTCCAGACACTGAAGTCATAAATTCTTCAGAATGCATTCTCTCAGGATGGAAAATTAAATAGCATCAACCCAACTGCTTGCTGGGTGGTATCAGCAACTTTGCTACTTGACTCCTTGATGAAATTCTTAAGACACTTATAGCAAAGTGAACTTCAAAAACCGTGTCAGCAACAGCCTGGATGCTTTTAAACAAACACCCCCTTCTTCTCTTTAGCATTTCTAGAGTGCAAACATTTATTTGAGATAAACAGAAAACAGATGGCAAAAATGTCAAAATTTTCAATAAAACGCTCAATTTTTGATCAGATATGCCTGGAAACCCAATTAGCATCAAAATATTAACTCTAAACGCTACAAACTCTGATAAATGTTTTCATCTACAAACAGCTGATTGTTTTAGAAATGCTTCTCTGTTGTGGTTCAACTACTTACAATCTCAGTACTTGAATCTACAGCTTTCCAAGGAAAGTTGCAAAAAAACTCCAGGCAAACCTATATGCCCTGCTTCCAAAGTAACTGCAGTTGGATCATCACTTAAAACAAATCAGAACCTATGTTTTAGGATTCTTTTTCAGCAGTCAAAGTTTTCAGCAACATAAATTTTATTCAGTGTTAACTTTCAGCACAGATGTAAAAAATCAGTATTTTACAATACTGCCTATCACAAATGCCTACTACATCAGAGAACAAAACCACCAACACGTGTGTCTACTCACCCTTCTGTGACTCGTGTTTCTCAGTTTTACCCTGGTAATCAAACCCCACTGCACTCTTGTCCACTCTGTCAGCCTGTACTCCGTATTTTCCACCAAAACCACTTGAGTAGTCTGCATTGTGAGTTAAGCATGATAAAAATGAAATTAAGCAGCTTTTAATAAAAACATCATATCTTAGCAATGGAGGCAGAAAAAGTTATTTCAGAAATGAAATATTACTCTTTAGCACACAAAATTAAGTTTAATTTTAAACACACAAAGTAAGATGGGCAACTGTCCTATAGTTTATGATGGTTCCTCTTAAATCTGCTCCCTATTTCCAATAGTGTGCAGCACAGCACAGGGTGAAAGAGCAACTCCCAATCTTTCTAAAATGTCCTTGAATCTCACTTCTAAAACAAAAGTAAGATTCAAGATGACAGGCTATTTCCTTGCCTTAAAACTTCATCAACTCATGAAATTGCTTTGAAATTCATTTTTTCATCTTCTCTTCCATCCAAACCCCTCAACATTTGATACATTGAGAACATCGTGTGGAGGCCTCGCTAAATGAGGTCTTCTACAAAAGTAAAAGAATAGAGGTCTATTCTATGATTTATTGAAAAAGTGTGTCTAAAGAGGCAACCACCTCACGACTTTACCTTTTTGGGAAGCATGCTTCTCAGTTTTCCCCTGATATTCAAACCCAACAGCTGACTGGAAGAGAAATAAAATTGCATGTGTGACAAAGAGTTAGATATTATTAAACTGCATGCACTTCAGTAGACAAACAGCACAAAAAGTTCCTGTGTCTTCCCATATTGCTCTGATCTTCTTGATTGGGAACATAAATACCTACTGAATTTATAGGCCATATTCATTTACATGATTTATATTTAGTACATGTATTCATGGCAAGGGTTTTTGTCATCCGTTGCCAAAGCAAATTGTACTGGCAACGTACTCTGGTCTTACCAGGTTCAGCAATTCAGTACAACAGGAATTCAGCATTTCCATGCAGGGGTTCTTACAGAGTCTTGGAGCAGGACAGCAATTATCCTGCCCAGTAACTCATGTTGCGATACAGGACAAACCATCCCCAAAATCCCTCCTGTAGCATTCATGCTGATTTTATCCTCATCAAAGAACTCTGCCTGGCTAAAAGGCATATTTTAACATCTCTTTTTAGCTTTATTTCCCATAAGGGCTTTTTTCTGTTTGGCTTTAAAGAGAAACGTATCTCCATAACAAGTCAGTGCTAGTTTACGGCTGAACTTCAAATACAGCAGAAAGAGCAAACCACACCAGCGTTTTATGATACTGGAATTTTTCAGCTGTATGTACGAAATGATAAACTCAACTACATCAAGTAGCTGCAGTAGGAGATGGAATTGCTCACCTGGTCAACTCTATCAGTTTGTACTCCAAACTTGCCACCAAACCCTTTCACCGAATCCACTTGGGAGCAATGCTTAGAAAGCTTGGATTGATATTCATGTCCAACAGCTGACTAAAAGAAATTGGAAAGTTCAGAAACAGGCAGCAGTTCTATACAGTTCTATATGTAACAGAAAACACTGCAACCAAGTAACCTGAGGATAAGCTTCATTATAAACATGCATCACTACAACTTCCTTGGAAGTGGCTACTCACTTGAAAATCATCATGCTACCGATACAGCCTAGGCAAGGGAAGCACCAAGAAAGCGTCTGACAGCAATGACTCTATTCATGGAGACTGTTTTACGCTCTGCATTTTTACTTCAAAACCACGGGAATGAAAACAAGAAAGATACAGAGAGGATCTTGATGGTGTTCATGCAGGACAAAAAATAAGAATTTGTTCCAGATAAAATATACAGGCTGGTATTCAGGCACATAGCTACAGATCGGTTTTAGCTGGTATTAGATTGCAAGCAAATACATGTACAGCTAGGTTTTCCATTGATATTCTTTTAAGGAGGCACCCTGATCTTCTGCATAAACCAAAATTAGGCATCTGCTCTTCATATTTTCTCCTTGCTTGCCAAATGGCATCACAACATGAAGCAGCTTATCCACATCAAGACAGACCTCCCCATGCCAAAGGCATTCCAGCCTCGCAGTCTCCAATTTGAGCCTGTCCCTGGAACTCGAGCTGAATGCGGCAAGCCAAGGCACAGTTACATCACACTATCACTGGCTTCAGGTAAGACCCAAGGATATGTAATTACATGCCTGAAAGTACACCCAGATAGCGTTTGCTAGTGTTACACTAATCTAGTACTAGGATACCCTTCTAGATCCTGGAATCCATGTTAGAGGCTAGCACCTTGAGGTACGTAACACAGCCAAAAAATTGTTGTTTTCTTGTACTGTGCCAAAACTGAGTGCTGGCCAGAGCAACTTGCAATTTGCTTCTTTAATTGAAGATTTGAGTCTGTTGCTCAAATGCACACAATTCCTGTCAGAGGCAGCAAGAGAAGACCTCATAACCTGCCACACGCAGCCGCGTCTAGATCGTGAGGCTGTACCCTGTGGCAAGCACCTTTCCTGACTCCAACCATCAGCCCCACCTGCAGCACCGCAGGTCCCAGCACCGGTCCCCGTGCGCAGGGCAGTCAGCATCTGCGGCTGCAGCAGAGCACCCTCCAAGCAGCTGCCCCAAGCTCTGACCTTTGAGGAATGAGAAACTGCTTATCTCGTACTCAGTATCAAGCAGCTGGAACAAGGTGAATTAATTTGAGGACACAAGGTGTCTAGAAACCATAAGTAACTTGGCTTTTCCAGTATTTGCTTTCTTTTCTTACACAGCTGCTGGAGGGAACATTCCCAGCACGTAGGAAAGCAAAACATTACAGCACATAATGGTCGAAGTAATTGCCAGGTAACAGAACAAAGATGTCAATAATAAGATATTATCTTAACTTCTATGCAATATAAAAGCTCCTTTCTTTTCCTGACTGAAACAGTTATACTCTTGTTCGTTTTGCAGGTGTTCTGTAGCAGAGTCTCTGTTAAGTGCAACAAAAAAGGCTCTCACCTTCCCTTTCTTCTTCCCGTTACCCATCACATTTATGGAAGACATGAAGCTCTGAAAACCCTAGGTTTTATGTGGTTTTACGTGATCCCTCTTTTGTCATGCCAGTTGAGGTAGGTAAAGTTTAAGCATGTTGTTTGCTTTATGTGGTACCAGAACTTTCTGCATTGCATTAAATACCAAGCATTACAACATACCGCTTTTCTAAAAAGACTTAGAAAAAGATTTCTCTTGGAAATCTGTATTTCAGACTAAATTGCCCTCATAATTCCTCAGCACAATACTCTGCCACATTTTAAATCAGTTACAGAGGTCTGGCATACAGAATGATGTAACTGTTCATTTTAAGTCAGCATCAAGGTTTTGCCCTAAATACAGCAAAAACCTGTACCATCAACACCACTGCAGTAACACTCATTTACTTGAGATGAGCCAAGCCTTAATGCGAGCACACCTGCACAGACCCCCAGATACCTGTGAAGGAGAGATCTCAACTATAAGGTTTTAGAACTATAGTTATAAGGAAGAAAGCTTTATTAAAAAAATAAATTATGAATGTCTCCTGCCACCAGTATCACTCAGATGGGCATGACCATCATGTTTTTCCTGATGATTAATTCTGGCCTACAGGAAACTCACTTTTGTTTCTTTTTTTTTTCCCCATGGACACAGGTGAGGGATAACCTGCTGACACTAGAGAGCTACGCAGCTGCAGAACAGGCCTAATGGTTGAATCTGCTCAGCAATTTCTTTCCCAGATTCAAAGGTTAGGTTAGCCTATTTCAAAGGCCCATTGAGAATTATACAGCAATGTACTCTGGAATATGGGAATTAAGCAAAAATTTAAGGCTGTCAAATTCCTAGAAACCTAGAGGTAAGAAAATAAAATCATTCTTGTACAGGAAACAGTTTGGCTCTATTTTAACAGAGTACATGAAAGAAACAAGCCAGAAGTTGATATGCCTGTCTAATTATCACATGGCTAATGGAATTACCTGAAGAATTATCACTACTTTTGTTAATAGACTGTAACTTAAACAGCCATCAAGTCCTTATGTAAAACACCTGACTGAAGTACAATGATTTTTTAAATACTTGAATTACTTGTCACTGTTCACAGTTTACCACTGTTTAAGAGAGCTGCCCTCTAATGTAAAGACAGCAGCACACCCTTTTCTTCATTCTTTGGCAACCTTTGTATGCATAGAAGAACTGGCACAGCATTGAAATAAAAAAAAAAAAAAACCAAACTGGATTTATTCATGCATTAAGTACTCCCTAAGTTAGAAATATACTTTTAGAAATTTGCATCTTGACTCCAGGGGAATCTACGCAGGACACAAGTAAGCAGACTTTCTCTAAAGACAGAGCAAGCATCAAATAAAAACATGTGGGGCCACTGCACATCCCAGAACTTCTCATCATTCACAGATTCCTAATCTGCCACCTGAAATACTTGTTCCTGATGCTTCAAGTGCTTTAGTTCAGTTCTTTCTGTAGGAGCATCTTGATTTAATGAGGGAACAGAGCATGATGGCCTGACAGATTTGGGTAGCAGTGGTTACAAGTGTTCTTGTTAGAGCACTGTAAGAGTGATGCTTTTACCCCCGAAACAAGCCACTGCTGTATATAGCTCATAGTTGTTCCAAAGCTGGAAAAACTTTGCACCTTTAACAAGCTTAACACATATATAGTTGTGCTGGCCACAGGCAAGGCAAGACAAGGCGTATATCACCATCCCCGAGAAGCATTCATACTTACTTTATCCATGCGATCTTGTTCAACGCCAAATTTCCCTCCGTAGCCATGGGAAGCTTTTGGTCCTGTTTCAAGCTCCTTCTCCTTGAGGTTCTGGTGTTCTTGGAATACGTTCTCTCTCAGCTGATGAATACTTTAAAGACAGGTAATTAAGCAGCAAGTTTTACTAAGAAAGTTTCAGAAGATAACTTCAAAAAGATGCAAAATAAAAAGATGGTAAAAATATCATCCTAATTAGAAGTTGGCCAACTTGTATTTTTTCAAGCCCTTTCCATTTTTTCAGTGCATATTCATCATATTCTAAGAAACAGAATTTATTTCACTGCAGAACACTGTCTGAAAAAAAAACAAAAAAGCAAAACAAAGGCATTGGTTTGAAGACTAACATGAAAGGGTATTTTGCTGTTTAAGCAATCAACTACCTAGAATTTGTATGTGCCTGAAACATATTTTCTTCTCATGTCCTAATTTAAGTTCTTTGCAGCGCTTTTTATTTAGATGGCAACTTTTCAGAATAGGGGTAATCTCTTATCATACAGTCCCTATGGTAACGGGACTCTAATTCTAACTGAGCATTCTGGACACAGCTGTAATGCAAAATGAGGATGCAAGGAGACATGCACCTCCTCCTCCCCAAGTGTTCTCCTGCAATATTCAGGAATCGAACTTACGGTAGTGCAGGCTACATACAAGAAGGACAAACCAACATGGTAATCTGTACCTTAAAACACTGACTACCTAAGTTTAAAGCCTCCTCAGGCGTAATTCAGCCAATAAGCATCCCCACTCCGCTCCAAATAGGGCAGAATAAAAACGACCCCTGAACTAAGCCACACAGTTCAGTCTCTCCATTAGCAACACTGATAACACTTATTCTTAGCTTTATACCATAAGGGTCAATGCCCCAGAAACATACAAGCAAAACCAATATGAACATCGCAATCACAGATCTCCTAAAACTACTTTAAAGACACATATCATAACAAGTACAAGATTCAGATGATGGATCACTTCTGTCTCACACAGCCCTTCATGATGCATTCATTTGCTTTTCTGCCAGGGGGCTCAATTTGTTACTTTGCCAGAATTTTTATGACTTTGGTAGCAGTTTTTGGAAAAAAAAAAAAACAAAAAACAAAAAACAAAAAGCCTAAGAATTAAGGGACTAAATATATGATTAAAGTACCCAACTGAGGCTCCTCAGATCACCCAGTACAAACTTCTCCCCTGGCAGTATTGGCTCTTGCACCAAAACAGAAGAAAGAAACTTTCCAGACACAAAGGAGGCAGGAAAAATAACATTTCCACTTACAAAGGGAGATTTAAGAGTCCCTACACCATAGTTCTGATCTTAATTTCAGATCTGAAGATACTAACATATTTGAAAGACCAGCCATCTGTCAAATAATCAATCTTCTACAGAGACTCTTGTTTTAATTATGAAGATACAAGTAACTGAGAACATGAGTTGATTAAGTCACCTGGGATTATGACTATTAATAAATTTTAAAAGAGCTGCTTTACTTGATGTGTTCTTGATGGCCGGATCCTTTCACAGTTTTAGCTCCCCAGCGCTGTTCTTTCTCACTCACATCATTCTGTGAAGGACACACATAAAAAGAGTTAAAACCCCAAAGATATTACTAGTTATTTGCACTTTTATAGTTCACAGCAAAAGCCTTCAGCAGTTGGCAAGATCAGAAGAATCAGAAAAGCAGCTACTACCATCTTCCCTTCTCTTCTGCTGTGCTTTGTCCACTGCTGAAATGCACGGAGAACACGTTCTCTTCCGTACAGATTTCTCTGCAGCACCCAGCCAAGGCAAGGTAGTTTTGTTAATCACTCACAGGCACAAAACGCTAATTCTCCCTCCTTGCACGAATATGCTCCTATCAGTTTATTTTGCTGAGACATAGCCCCCACTCTGAAGAATTAATTACTCTCTAACATGTTACATAACACACTTTTATTGATTCACACAAGCCAAATCAATAAAATTCAAAAGCCATACCACAAAATCAGGATCTGTCTCCCAGTCATCGGCTCCATCATCCTGATTGACAGAAATGGTGTGGCCTGCAGTAGCCTTCCACATCTGCAACACCATCAGAAGAAGCAGCGTCACACTCCAGTTACATGTCAACTCATTTTATATCACGTATAAGATGATAGACGCAATCCAAAATTCCCAACAAAGTACGTTATTTAACCACATAAACATAAGCTATATTTGCAGTGAAAGTAGATTTGACCATTGATTCTCAGGCTGTCTTCTCAGGCTGGTCTGAAAGCCCTTTCAGTTTTCCTGCTGGCACTGCAAAAAGGTTGGGAGCAATCGCTGACATGATTTCAAAGAGAACAAAGAAGTCTTTCCTTGCCCAAATTAATATGTTTTTTCTTCACTCACTGCACTGAGAGTTCTCTTCAAACAGGCCTCCAAACAACATCCATTACTGAAGACTGCTGCTAATTCTAGATCCCGTGCTTATGTTTAAGGCATAGGAATAGTTGTTTTTTTCCCCAGCCATTAGTAATCACTAGCATGATACTGTTCATCAGGCAGTACAACCTACATGTTTCCTCTATTGTGTAATGAGTTTCAGCATCATAAAAGAAATCCAAACAACTGTAAGAATTTGCATGCAATCTAGACATTAGTCCACTTGCCTGCAAGTACAGAGTAAGTGAGTTACTGTGTGTCTCAGATAATCTGTGACTAGTGAGCAGAATACATGGCCTGCCTGGTGCTAGTCAGTGTATTTTATGCCCTTTATTCTAGCTAAATCAAAACAAATTCTAAAAAGCAAAGCAAAAACAACAAACAAAGCTTTCTGTTCTCCCAGCTTTTTCAGGTACAAAAGTCAAGGAAGGATTTCTTTTCTTCATCACTACTCCACTAGAGTTCAGTTCTTTAACATACCATCATTCTGTCCACTTACCTTTATCTTTCTAATTAAGAATAGATTATAAGGATAATTACCATGGACTATTTCATTCACACAACCATAATCCAGTAGGTGGAATGAAAACTCCCATTTAAATGAGTAACTAATAATCCAGAGGTAAAGTGCAGACAAAAAAAACCCAACCCAAAAACAAAAACACTGCTTACTCTACAGCCTGACAGAATAAACCAATGAGCCAGTTTTATGGAGCATTTCAGAAATTTCAGGACTGGTAACAAGAATGAGAGCAACTGAAAAGCTGACAGTCAGACACCACGGTAGCAAATGACAGAGTGGCCTGACAGAAGGGTTTAAGAGCAGACCAGATGACATCCTGACAAAGCAGTGGTATGTTTCCCCTCCTGCTTCTTCAGGTCTCCCACCTCCAAATTCCTATAGCAATTAACAAACTGGCATTTATTAAACTACTTAATATACAGATAACTTATGAGACTACATATTTATAATTTTTAAAACGTTGGAACGCGGAACCTAAGCAGCTCAATAATAAAACTCAACGGGGGGTCCAAGTTCTAACTTCGGAATCAACACAAAACTATGGTCACTCCTAAGAGGGGCGGCTTGTGTCCCTCCCTCCATGTTCCACCACGCTGTACACTGCGCATGTCACCTGAACTCCACTTCTGAACAAGAGCTGAAGTGCAGATACATATGAACATGGTTACTCTACGTATCAAGTTGGGCAAAACAACTTCTTCCCCAAAGTACTTGGGTCACGCATTCGCTTGATTGTTTTGCTTCGTGCATTCAGCTGTACTTAGGCATTTAAAAGAACAAAAGCTAAGATCCTCAAGCCTAGATTTCTTTGCTTCCTCCTCAAATTCTCCCAAGCAATAATGAAGGAAGGCAGGATTTCACACACACACCCTTACAAAATGCAGAATCCACCGCCTGTCTTCCTAAGTCATGTAGATGAACGCCAACGTTTTTCCACACCTCAAGCCTGCATTCTATAAAGCGAATTACAAAAGAGAGCAAAGCAGCCCAGTAACAAGTGATCCCAGTCAAGACCTCTGACTGCTGGTGGGGTGCTAACAGGAATGAGCCTGGTTTCCGAGCAGCTTGCTATTCTAGCATCTCTTCCAAAGCAAAACGTGGAGAAATATGATCTATTTATGAGTCACTAACTCACATGGTCAAGTTTCTGAAGGAAAAAGAAAACGCTACGGTTCAAACGCAAACTGAGGCTAAATATATGCTTTTAATTTATCTGGCCAGCTCCACGCTCCACCACTGTTATGACTAATCAGCGGTCACAGCATCCTGCCCTGCACCTTCAGCGGCGCTCTGGGGAACTCCCCTCTTCCCCAGGGCCTACGGACAAACTCCTGGAAGGAACAAAGGGGGATGCCAAGGCTTTGCGCCCAGACATAGACAGCACTGCAGGCAAAGAGAACCAAGCAGCAGCTCTAGGCCTAGGCTCGGTGGGGGCACGGAGCACTCATCCTGGCCTTGCTACCTGCTGGGGACCCGCCGCCCGTCCCGGCAGCAGCGTCAGGGCACCCCGAAAGGACGGCAGGGAGGCTCCCCTCTTCTCTGAGGGCGCGATGATAATCGCAGGCCGCGGCACGGCTCACCCCGTTTTCTCCTCATCGCCACTGCCTCCTCCGAGCCCCTCGAGGGTCTTACAGCACACGTTTTTTCTTCTTTCAAGTTCCCAGCTCCGGGGCCTTTGAGCTACGGGCTGCTTTATAGAGTTTTTTCATTAAAAAAGGAGACAGAGTCACGTAGCCCTAGCTCGGCCTTTCACCAGCTGAGCGACCGGCTGCACAGGGGGGCAGCGGCCTCCCGGCCGCCTCACGGAGCTCCGCGGCAGAGGGCCGGGGA